CCTCCCTCCCCTTATCTTGATGTGAACTAGGGAGGGGCTTGTCTGAGACGTTTTCTCAAGTTACTTTCTTGGCCCGGGCTTCAACTCTTCTTATCTCCCTTGGTAGCAGCCCTTCCTCCTGTCCTGTCCTCCTCTACAGGAATGTGGTCAGTGGAATAGAATCACCTGCATTACAGATGGGGAAATCAAGAGAGACATTGGGGCATCCTTTCCTAAACTGGCACACCTTCCCCCCACCCACCCAAAAGGGGGAATTCTGGAATGATTCTCTTCTATTGGAACTATTGGAAGAAAGCAATCTCTTGATGGCTACTCATCAAAGCAGCTGCCTTTTTCAAGTTTGCAAAAAAGATTCCGATGCTTCAGAGTATGTTAACTTTAATGAGAGGTTTCCTTAAAGCAACTACGTCTGCCAAAGCCTGAAAAATGGGGAGTTGGGGATTCTTGATGGAATAGCAGAGAGATGGGGTAACCAAGCAAGGTCTGAAGCTCTTCTTCCCCATCATTCCCAAGTCAAGGAGTTTTGCTCTACTCAAAGCCTATCCAAAGTTTAATTTGGGACAAATCTGTGAAAGTAGAAGAGAAAATCCTTTCTCCTTTCCATTTCTGGAGAATTAGGTATGCCAGCTGCTGGACTATTACAGCTATAAGAAAAGGATGAACTGAGAACATGCATGTGGTTTACTAAAGCAGGGTTTGGACCAAGGGGCCAGAGTGTTAACAAATTTCCAGAAATGGCAGAGGGAAAGGAAGAAGAGTTAAGGAGTGTCAGCAGTTGCACCAAGAGAACGAGTAGTATCCATTTTATGGAATGCCCTGATTTCTAATTCAGAATGACATCTTCTTCAACAACAATAACAAAAGGGAAGTAGGTAGTGGCACCAAGGAAGACCAGAAGGAAAAAGGGAAGCTCACATAAAACAATCTGGGTTTCTTGTTGGAGGACCAGAAACTGAATCAACAGTGTGACGCAGCTGGGAAAAAAAAGCAAATGCAATCCAAGTTTCTTTCAACAGAAGAAGAGTGTCTGTCTAGATCAATGTTTCTCAGCCTTGGCTGCTTTAAGCTGTGTGGGCTTCAATCCCCAGAATTCCCCAGCCGGCCAGGCACTGGCTAAATTTAACCCAGAGAAGAGAAGACTGCAGGAAGACATGTATCTGCACAGTTCTTATGTAGAAGGTGGAGCAGAATTCTTCACTCCAGAAAGCAGGACAAGAAACAAGAGGGGTTAAATTACAAGAGAGCAAACCTTGGTTTGACACCAGGAAAACTTTCCTAACAATAAGAACTGTTAAATCATGGAATAGACAGCCTTGGGAGGTTCATTGGAAGTATTGAAGCAGAGGCTGGATGGCCATCTGTCCGGGAAAATGTACTAGTAGATTCTTGTGTTGAATTACCAAGCCTGGCTTCACATCTTTTCAAATTGCCACAGAAAGTTGGGAAGTAACCAACTAACAGAAAACCTGCAAGAAACAACATTTGCTGTACCGTAGGGTATCTGTGAGAAAGAAATCAAAATATGCCTCCATGAAAGCAGGAAGCTAAACCTTCCTGCTTGTCTCACCCTGCCATTCAATCTTGTCAGAGCAATCGAGGTAAAATTTACAATGAGAAGGGGCTTGCCCAAAAGATTAAAATGTGGCAGAGTCAAGATTCCTTCACCCCAGCCAAAAGATCTCCCTAATCACATAACAAAAGTCCTGTTCCCCGAAGAGATCTGCATTCCAGTTAGACAGTGCTAGACAAGGAAAACACAGGATGCCTGATTAAAAGGAAGCCACAGCTCCGTGGGGCACCTGACCCCTCAGTGCTCTCTTTTGGAGATCCAGCTACTTACACTTTCACCTAAGAGCGCTTTCTCTTGGAGCTCCAGCTAACTACACTAAGAATTCCTAGCAGGTGGGCAGTCTTTGCGCCTTGGCGCGATCTTCCCTATATAAAGGGCTCTTGGGGAATTCTTGCTTGTGGTCACCTCCAGGACCCGATCCGGTGTGCCGTGCTCTTGGAAAGAAACTGTTCCCTCTGTTTCAAGCAACTGCCTGTGCATTTTATTCCCAGCTCGGAAACCAACTTGGTAAGATTTCTTTCAACGTAACCTATATTTTGTTCTTTCTCTTGCCATGTAAAACTTTGTGTCTCTGTGTGTCTGTGAGTGAGTGATGAGTGAGTCAGACTCCTGGCAAGTACAGGAACAAGTCTGTGCAGTTTTGTAGCTAATCTTTGTGAAAGTGATTTGATCTTGCCTTCTTCCTAGATCTGAGAGGGAATGACTGCCCATTGGCTTTTATGTCCAAACCAGGATTAGAACTCTGGTTTCCCCACTCCTAGTCCAGCACCTTCACCACTGGACCACACTAGCTCACATAAAGAATTGCTGATATACATTCTCCATAACTGGATCAAAACCTGTCTATGGAGAAATGTTTGGGTCCACTGGAGTCAGACAACGTCTCTGGATGAGCGACTTGAGTGCATGTTCATGGATAGAGGGCACCATGGAGATGACCTTGGAGAAGCCATCCAGAAGCCATTAGGATAACAACAGGGGAAGAAGAAGCAGGCACTGAGCCCAGGGAGGTGGGAAAGGGTTAGAAAGAGGCTCAGACTGGCTCCCCCCAACTCCCTGGATATAAGATGAAGGGAAGGGAAAATACGCCCAGATTTGCAAGGTTCTCGTAGAACCTAGCTCCTTCAAGTAGAGTTTTAGTCTTCCTGTGGAGCCAGTGTCTTGATCTGTTCTACCTCCTAGGGCTGAGAGTGAGCAACCACAGAAACAGGATATGGTACATCTCATATGCATCTTGGGTGTGAAGGTTTTAAGACCCAAAACAGAACTCAGAAGAAAAGGGCAGATGTCAGAACTAAGAAGGAGAAGGCACCATCAATATTTTTCAGAAAGGAGCTACCATATGCTCCTGCACGAGTGATCAGGAGATTTTCTGCCTGTAGGAAAGTAGGCAGTTTAACTGCAGGTTGCTGGCATGAATACCAGGACAAGTAGAGCCATGACCAGCCCTGTCTGGAAGGTGATGTCATTGCTGTACGGGATGAAGGGATGAAGGGTCTTATCAAGCAGTCAGTCTTACCAGGTAGATCAGACAGGAAACATGACCAGAGAAGCTAATTCTACTTCATTGTAAAGCTACATTAACAGCTTCTTGCAAGTCTGAAAGTACAATTCTCCTCTTATCTCCTTTATAGCCCCAGAACTTAGGGAGTGTCCCTCCTGAGCCTCTTCCTCCACCCATTGCACAGCTGCGGGCTCTGCTGCCTCTTATCTGGCCACTCCCTGAGCAGCATCTCTTTGCCCCATTTCCCAAGGTCTTCCCCACATATCATTACACAAGCATAGGTGGAACCCATAAGAAAGAAGAACAAAAAAGTTTAAGAGAATCTTTGGATCCACTAAAAAGAGTATTTGGTCTTACAGGATTGCTATAGGTATCAGAGAGGTCCTACAGAAGGGAAGAAGAATGATCCAAATGAAAAGAGAACGGGTTTTCAGAGGACAAGGAGAAAGATTTGAACAGAAAGAAACAATGATCAGGCCAAAGACGGTAGACAAAGGTTTCCAGTTAAAGGTTCTGTCCTGGTCCTGTGGTGAAGGGATCCTCCATCTGATCATATAGTGTTCTAAGGGAGGGCTTCCAACTGGACATATGTTTGTGCCAGTGGAGTTGCATCTGTGGATGAGCAAGGTTGCCTTATGGCAACACAGTAGTCTTCAGAACCAACAAGGTATCACTGCCTTAGGTTTATAGAAGTGGTCTCCTTGGATGAAATTTTTGGCTTCCTCCATTTGCTAGGTCCTCAGACCCTGTCATATCAACATGCTAGCTTAATTAGAGCCTAATGCTGAATTGTCAGCACTCAGCATTCAGAACTGGGAAGATAACTGAGGTTAAGTGAGCATTAATGGGTTGGAAGGTCTCTGTGCTCTATTATTGGCCAAAAAGACCAAACACTGATTAGAAGACAGAAAGCAAAACTGTCTTCCATTCCATATTTGGAGAAAACTGGCAATGAAAGGAATAAGTGGGACATCTTTGGATTTCCCACTCACAATCTCATCAACCATTACATGTTTCAGGCAGTGAAAAGTGGTCATGTTGAAGAATTCTTAAGGTCTAAATTGAGTTGAGTTTGTGTCATTGTTTAAACACTCATCACATTTATAGTTGTCCAAAGGAGTCATCCAAATCCAGTACTAACCTAAGAACTGAGAACATCAGAAAACAAACAATTCATTGATTTTGGAGCTTAGTATTTTCCCTTTAAAAGAAGCAGCCACTTAATTGACCCTAACCCTATGACTGGACTTGTAGAAGTTGCAGTAAGATGCAGCCAAGAGATGAACCACGAAGCATAGATAAACAAACAGAAATTGATACTTCACTGTCTGTGGGATATTTTTTCGGCATAGTAGGTGAAAAGGATGGCCAAGTACAAGGAGGCCTGGCCTCTGAGAATGTTCAGATGGTCAACAATGGTGTCACAGAAAGAGGAACAGGGGAAGTGATGCAAGATGAGCTCTCGGTGGTCCTAACATCTCAAATGGGTGAAAAAAGAAAGAAACTGATGCCTAGTTTTTTATTTTGCCTTTTTGTTTTGTTTTTTTGGATGCTCTGTGAACAAAGAACATGTTTAGGGAAAGTGGGTAATATGAAGCCTGACAATTTTCTACTTTTCCTTTCTTTTCCATTCATTCCAATTTCCTTTTTCTCCTTTGTTCTCTTAAGAGTTTTGGACTGGTTCCTTCTAACCAACCAACCATTGGCAGATAGCAGATGCCAAGCAATGCCATTAGCAGATGAAAAGTTACATCCTTAAGTGGGTGGCCATCCACTTATCTTGTACTGTGTCTTGCACATGCCCTATAATCAGTCCAGGATCTGTTAATTAAGCCAGTTCCCACATTTCATCACCCTGTAGCAGAAAGCAGGTTTAATCCCTTCCTTGATAGTTTCTCTCTAGCTTCCATCTCCACCCCAATTCTTAGTTGTCCCTCAACAGGGAATGAAAATCATGCAGAATTGACAACTGATGTACTACCCCATGTTTGAAGATAGCATCTTGTTATCTTTGTGAATGGTTACTGGTCCAGCCAGAATCAAACAGCAGCTCCCCAAAGAATACAAGAAAAAGTTGATGTTGTCCAAAGCTTTCATGAAAGATTATTTGGAGTCTGGCCTCAATAAAAAAGGGTCAAAAGAAGTATGAAGGTCAGAATGTCTAGAAATCATGAAATGACAAATTTAAAACCTGAGTAACTTTGCTGCAATGGCTTTGCTTTCTCTGGAAATCCCTGAAATAGGTTGAAGAATATGGAGATGCTCTTAGTGAAGAGATCCATTGAACCATTTGATTCAATTCTACTGAGTAGTAACAAGACCATATCAAGCCAAACTCCTGGACAACGAAATCAAGGTTGGTAGCTGTCTAACTAGGAAGCTGCAGAGCCCAGATAGTTGAGATTCAGTGGTCTCTGTCTAGGAGAGGCTCCAATTGGCCCATTAGTCTTAGGACCATTATGCCAAGATGTTCCTCAAATTACACATGCTCAGGCCTGAAGGTTCAGATTTACACATCCACCAATCTGGAGAATCTTTATTATGAAATGAATGTCACAGGAGGAGCCCAACACACCACAATAGTTTGTGCTTAAGGTCTACACAGTCTAGACTCTCAACACATTGTGGTGAAGGTACAGGGAGGAACTATTTGGAATCTAATCATATGCAGTCAGGGGGAAAACTGGTTTGTGTCTATTTTTCACTTATACGAGGAATATGTTGTTAAAATCATTGCTGGTTAAATTCGTGGCAGACATATGCCTTCTGTCGCAAGTCTGCAGAACATCCATCTTAGTGAATGAGGGAGATAGATGCATTTTGCCTTGAATATCCAAGTACATTTATTTGTTTACAGTCAATAACCAGCCAAGAAGGCTATATTGGGAATGAACAACCTTGTTAACTAGGGTTGCATTTAATACTTTTGGGAGAGCAAGGGGCACCATGAGGGAGGCAACAATTCAAAAGGGACAAGGCCATATCATACATGTCATTGGGCCCAGAATTTTTTATTTTTTCCTCAAAGTTTTGCAGAGAGGAGGTGCCTTAATAGTGGGGGGAAAATAGGCATTACACTAGTTTTTATATATTTCAATGCAGCTGATTTTCAGTTACTGTGGGTGGAATGGGCTCTGGGTCTCACCAAAATGGAGGTTGAGATCTCAAGGAACCCCAAGGTGAGGCTTCAGGTGTCCACCCCAACACAGATGTTGACCTCCATGACCAAGAACCATGAATGTCAGGGGCATCTAGCAATTTGCACCTGGGCATTCCTTCCTACCCATGATCTTCCTGTTCATTGTCCCCAAAGAAGAACTGGTGGCTGCCACCCTACCAGAATGCCTCACCATTCTTGATGTGCAAGATGATGGTCAGCAATAGAACTGGAAGAAGGGTCTTCATGTCTTTCCCGAATCCCTCCATGACGAAGTTGCCGGGTTTGAAGGCTCCCTGCTTTTTTTGGTGCACAAAAGCATTGGGTCACTAAGGAAGCTAAGAAACACACCTTTTCATACCCAAAGGACTGATACAAGCAGGATGTAAAGGGAGGTAAATAAGGAGATGGCCATTTGAGGTTAGGAGAAAGTTTTAAAACCTTCACTATGCACTCTGAAGCTGTTGGATGAATTTTAACATGGGGGGGTGGGTGGAATTGAAGGAAAACTGTTGTGTGCATATTATCCACCCAGAGTTGGCATGATCTTTGGTTAAGATCATGCCATCAGATGCATTCAGCACCTTCCCCTTTCTCCCCTCCAGTGCCGATATAAATCCTACACCAGTCTCACCACCCCACACATCTGACGTCAGCTGCAGCTCTCGAAAGCTCCTGCCTTTGAACCAAACGTGTGAGTCAGAAAAGGTACTCCCCATACGCCTTCTGATTTTTTGCCACCATAGACCAACATGTCTGCTCTCCTCCAGTGTCTCCATGCTTGGAGAAACTGCAGGCAGATTCACTTTCAAGGGAGGGCAAAAAACACTGTGATTATACCCCTTCCTCCAGCTTGCACCTGGCTGGAGCTAGCATGTTCAAAGACGGCCTTCAGAAGTTGCAGCAGAACAGCTTGTCAAGCAGAAGGAAAATAGCACCATCTAACGTCCACTTTGCTATTTCCAGTTTCGCTGATTGTTCTATTGACTTGTGCTGTTGGGTTAATAGAGCTATGCGTATTTCTGTAAATATGGGCCTAGCAGTTAGTTATTCAACAGGTCTGCCAATCTTTAAGGGGTGAGAGGATGAAAAAGACCCCACCCGTCTCCCTTTCATCCTCAGAAGCAGTTCTAGGAGACATTTCTAGGTAAGGGTGCTATTTTTTTCAGGGGCAAGGGCCATGCTGAGCCTTTGAGTGACATCCCAGAGGTCAGGTCAAAACCTAAATTGGAGTTCCTTCTTTTACAATCCCACAATACAAGGAGGACGCTGAGGAACTGGGGAGAGTGCAGAGGAGAGAAAGGTGGCGTGGCTAAAATTTATGAAAAACAGTGAAACAAATTAGGTACATTTAGCCTAAAGAAGAGAAGGTTAAGGGGGGACATGATAGCAATCTTCCAAGACTTGAAGAGCTGTCACAGGGAAGATGGGGTGGGTTTATTCTCCAAGAGTAGGACAAGACCCACTGGATAGAAGCTTAATAGGGAGAAATCCAAACTCAAAATAAGGAGGAATTTCTTGACCATGAGACCCATTAATCAGCTGGACTGATAGACACATGGATAGACAGCCCATTTTAAACCATGTTTTCTCCTTTGTATTCATGTATATTGACAAACCATTTTAATCCATGCATTGCTTATTATTTAGCACATAGTTATAACTATGATGCTTTGCACTCATTGGGAGTGACCTGACCGCTGGGTGACCTGCTTGTTAGATAGACATGACAGTAATAGATGAAACCCAGACCATGTGCCTTTCTATCTAGGAATGCCAGTTTGTTAAGGTGATGGATGGGACCCTGGTACCAAGTTACTCAGGAATGTTTGATCCAACAAAACTTCAGTGTATCTCTTAACCCTCAGATAAGCCATGTTATGTCTCCCTGACTGGTTAACCCTCAGTTAAACCAAACACATGGCTTTTGATTGGTTTATAGTTAGGTACGTTGTTCAAAATCGTAAAAAAAGAGGGTTCACTCCAAGCAGGGCTGTGCCCGTTTGGAACTTACTACCGGGCAACCTTTTATTTGCAAATAAAAGCTTTATTCCTTTCCACCTATCTGGTGTGATTTATTGGGCTTGCGTGCCAGGTAAAGGACCTGAGCTTTCTGGGGCAACAAAACAGCCTGCCTCCTGAAGTCACAGACGCTTCTGAACCAAGGTTGGACAGCCCTTTGTCTGGGATGGTCAGAGGATGCCTCCCCCAGGCAGGGGGCTGGTCTGGACTTCCAAAATCCCTTCCAGCCTTATGATTCTATGATAATTTTAAGAGAAACCTGAAAACCCAGTTTTGTAAGGTTTGCTTCATGGGGGCCCTGATTTATGATGCATCTTTATTTTGCTTTCTTGGTACAATTTGTTCTTTGAATCTGTGGAACTACTGCTACAATCTGAAGCTCTTGATGTGTTGTGTTGTAAACTGCAGCAGGCTGGTGGGCCAGCAGCATGTGGCTCTAAGGTTGAAAGGAAACCCCACAGAAAGCATGTGTCCCATCAATGCCCAGTTCCCACTCAGCCCCGACTCCAGGTCTATTGCCCCTTACCTGCTTTTCACCTCCCCCTGTGCCTTCCCCAAATTGCTGGCCCCTAAAATACTCTTGGAGTCACACTAAGCCTGTTCAGCAGGTGTACGGTCTGCGAACTGCCACGGAACAGACCATTATTCTGGTTAGGGTTCTGCTGGAATTGGAGAACCGTTGGAAGGATCCAGGGTGTTCTGATTGGTGACCACCTCAATCAAGCAACAATAGGCAGCAGCCAACTTATAGTCCATCATCCAAGCTAACCCAGGAGGATGAGGAAATTCCCCTAGGAACCAGCTCCGGACTCCCTTCATTGGATATTCCTAACATAATGACTTGAAACAAAAAAATAATCAGGAATCAAAAGGGAAACTATTCTAACTCCACCACCACCACCACCAAAAAAACCAACAGTGGTTGGAAGACAGAAAGGGAACTGCTTTCTAATGGCATCAGGTGTTTGTAATAGGCTTCTCCAACCACATCTCTTCTCTTTTCTCCATTTCAAGACGTGATCAAGGTCAACCTGGGGATTTGCAGATCAGACTCGCTTTCTCTGTGGCTGGTTGTCTTTTAAGCCATTTGAGAAGCTCCAAAGCAATTTGAGTTTTGTGAAATGTGGGGGTATTTGCCTGGCTGAGGTTAATGTTTCCAATGAATCCACTCTTGATATAAAGGGCACCAAATATCAACTCAAAAGCATGATAGAATAGGGTCTATCATATTTTTGATGTATGCAAAGACCCAGCTCTCTGGAGAAGTCTATAATGCTGGGAATGATGGAAGGAAAGAGAAGAAGAGGATAACCCACAAGATGGGTGGATCAGATTACTGTGATGATGGGCGCACTGAAGGGCCAAGCTGGGGACAAATAATCCTGCTGGTCTGTCTGTGTGATCGCTAAGAGTCAACACCAAGTAGATGGCACATAATCAAAATGACAGTGGAAGAACCCAGGAGTAGCCCTGTAACAATAAATATCAGATACTCCAAATCACAAACAAATCCCTTTCTTTTCACCTGTGTCCTGCCCCCGTTTTTTGTTTCCCCCCTATTTTATCTTGGGTCCCCCCCCCAGTTCTGTACATGAGAGCAACCAACTCCCTTGCAGCTAAAAACTGGGATCTAGCTTCCTAAAACACAAAGTTTGTCATCTCACAAAGAGTTTTGGCCAGGGGTATGGCAAAGAAGGCAATTTTACATAACTGGAAATAGACTTACGCTTCTGTTTTTAAGGAATGGATCCAGGATGACATTTTTGAAAAGCCTCGGTATTCTAAAAATGAGAGGATGCGTGCTCCTTGGACAGAAAGCATCCAGGTCTAATTCCTTTGATGCCTAAGATACCAGTGTGCAGTTGATTCGTTTCACATCACCGTGTTGAGCTTTCCCGTGTTCATGCTTCTTATGTTCCATGTTCCCACCGTAATTCTCTCTTTGCAGCTTCAGGTTTTCTTCTCCTGTGTGGCAATTTCAGCAACGGACACCCCAAAGGCTTTCACCTAGCCACATCGCAAACACCATTCAGACTCTGAAAGACCCTCAGTTCTTCTTAAGAGCACACTGAGCGCCATCCGAGCTGACAGGCCCATCGTCCAGCATCGTATCGTCAATCGCGTCATTTCATCACTAGCTTTTTCTTTTCTCTTTTGGTCCTGAACGTCTTTGTATTTTACCCTTTAAAAAAACCTGGGAGCTCTCTCCAAGTTATTGCTGGACCACAACTCCTTGCCATCCTCCACCATACCAACCTTTGTCCCTCCACCAGCGTAACGTTCCTATGTAGACAAGCAATCCCCCATACCCTCCTGAGATACTGGTGGAACCCCATCAGTTGACTGAAGTTGACTCTTCCAGCCCATTTTGAAGTTCAGTGGTGTTGCAATCACCTTAGTCACACTGTCTTGTTTCAGGGCACTAACTGCGTGTCGGTTGGTTTTTCCGCCCCGCTTGGGGCTCCTTTGGAAAAACGCTATGCAAATAAAAGACTGAATAAACAGCACAGCCCAAAACATTGTCCCGAAAAAGCGTAATGGGGCCATGGCGATGAAAGGAAGAATAAAAGAGAAAGGGAAATGTTACGAATCAAAATGTTTATTCCATTCAAAAAGCGTATTATGGTACCCAACAATCACACTTAATGTAAAATGTAATAGACTGAAACTTGGATTTGCTGCATTCCTTTGCATAACAGACCTTCATTAAGAGCTACGCAGCCTCGCACTCAAGTTTGGTGCCTGGAGGTCCACCAAGCAAAACCTTGTTAAGGCCTCGGTAATGATTTCAAACCTTCTCACAACCTAGAGCAGTGTTTCTCAATCTTGGCAACTTTAAGACTCATGGACTTCAACTCCCAGAATTCCCCAGCCAGCATGGCACCAAACTCATGGACTTCAACTCCCAGAATTCCCCAGCCAGCATGGCACCAAACTCATGGACTTCAACTCCCAGAATTCCCCAGCCAGCATG